CCTGTACTAAGCTTGATATCTTGTTTTTGAAAACACGTGCATTCTTATTCTGGTTATTAGCTAGAATTTACTATGTGATGCGCACAACACACAAGTATAGACTAGATCGCCTAATTTGGAACAAAGCATCGCATATCCGTTTGTTTGGAAAATGGTTTGAAGTTTGCTACTCGCAAGTAGGCTAAAACACGGATTTCAATGAATTATTCCAATTCAAGCAATCCAACCTTCACCCACAGGCATTCAGGCAGTTATATCATATAAGCGATTAGCCTCACGGCAAGCATGCTGTCATGTTAACACTTACACACATGCAAGATGCTAAAGCATAAACACTTACAGTGTACTCTGAGCCACAATAAAGAACTAGTTAGTAATCAATGCATGGTCCTAATCCATGTTAAGATGGCTAATGCATCGCATGCAAAATGCAACTAGAAATAGGCTTGGCTATTCTAAGATGGCATATGAGTTACGACAAATCGATACATGTATTCAAATAGGAATTGAAATACAATGTAGTTAGTATGATGCGCCGAGCCCGGTGCATGCAATACTGGTGAATGGTGCAAACATGCGTAGCATAAGGATGCTAATTGAAATATGCCCTAAAACTAACCATCATAAGCGGTTAAGTAAAAGGGATAAAGAAATGGGGGTCAGAAGACATGCATCACACACACGCACGCTTATTACAAAATTGCGCCCTCTCGACGGGGGGACCAAAAGAATAATATAAATTAACTAATTAACTAACTAACAGGCTAATTAATTATTACACAACACTTAACAAATTTAAACAAATTAATTAAGCTATGAAAATTGTAAAACAGCCTCGGGAAGAGGGACGAATGCATGCTCGGTCGGCTTTGCTCGGAAATCCGTTGCCATGCTTCATGTTGCTTCCGTTTGCACTGCTCTGTTCCTCTGAAAATTGTGCCAACTTCTGTGACACTTTTGAACCACCTTGTGGACATTTTGGGATGCCATCGGCCAGAAGATAGGGCCTTCGGCCATGGGAAATTGGTTATCGACTAAATATAAGGCTCTCGGCCAAATGTTTGTTGCCGATCAGAACTGAATGTGGTCGATCGATCATTTGTTCTTGTGAAAAGCTCATGTTGCGGCATCTGAGGACAAACAGAGCATGGCAATATATTTACAAGACAATGTCTGTACAACTACACCCCTGATCATGTTTAAGACTCAAAGATGTGTAGTTCTCGACCCTCAAACCACCAATCATGCATTTCAATGCATGATGGCCAAAGGAGCCAAGTGTGCAATTCAATATCAAATGAAATGCACAAAAACACATAGGGGACCTCAACCTCTACCATGCTTGATCAAGAGGTAAGGTAATGCACACACAATGCAATGCAACCTAAGCATGCAAGCAAGCATGCAAACAACTCAAGCATGATACAAATCTAATGCAACATGAGCATGCAAGCATACAATATGCAATAGGCATACAACCTAAATATGCAAACATGCATAGCATGCAACAACATGATAAGATGGACTTAAACCAAAATGGGCTATTCTTAAACATGCCCAAATCAGTGGCCAATGTCAAGAATTGGAAGCATGAAAATGCAAAGCAAATATGCACATGTAAATGGTCCAACACCTGGGCGTAGAAGGGAAAGTTTCAAGAACACTTAAAAGAGGACAAACATGGACATGTGACATACATTGTAAGCTCTGAAATCATGTTAGGAAAGATGCCAAACCAACCAAAGTACACAAGCAAAGCATGCAAGAAAGCCCACAGCTTAAGACTACCCAAGGGACTCAAACCATGGCTATGTGAAACATGAAGCAAATGGCCAAAGTGAACCAAAACAGTCCTAAAGCATGCGAAAGTAAGCCTAAAACATGCAAGGAATGAGGCCAAAACATGCTAGAACAAAGGGCTGAAAGCATGAGGCATGCGAGGCTACAAAAGAGGTGTTACACTACACCTATCAAAACCAATCATGGCATGACTTAAATCAATAAAAACAACGTCATGGCATATCAAAATAAGCCCCAAAACCCACTTAGATGGCATCCCAAAGACCTAAGCATGGAGGCATACACAATGGTCCATTCATGAGGTATAAAACATCAACTCTTTAAAGCATTAAAGGAGTGATAAGTGCAAGTATATGAGCATACTATATGGACTGAAATAACATAACAAGTGATGCCAAATCATTGAAATGGTCCAAGTAAAGCATGCTAGTGACTTGGACACTCAAAGCTAACAAGCTAGATTGCATGGTAGCTATACAACACAATGCAAGCATGACCAAGACAACATAAATCAGACCTTAAACATGGTAAAACATGAACAAAGTCTTCTCAGAGCTAAGCCAAAAGCATGCTAAAATGACATGTAATAACATGATGCATATTAAGGCAACTGAGAGGATTGCAAGACAGGTATATGGAGCATGTAAGAGGCCATTAAACCAACTTGAAATAGAGGTATATCATGGCAAAATAACACCAAATACTTGCTGAAATGGAGCTAAAACAAGCTAAGCAAACATGCTACCAACATAAGCCATTTACGCAAGCATACAAGACAACACGGAGAGGGGATGACCCTCTCCTATTTAGGACTCCAAAACCACCTTCCCATCATTGAAAATACTCTAAATTTCAGTGGTAGAAAGGTCATGCAAAGCTAAGAACAAGGGCCAAAAGGGATGGCCTAAAACACGGCCAAACAAGGCCTTGGAGGGGGGAAACAACCCCAAACCCAAACAAGACCTTAACCAATGATCTAGAGCATAAAAAATCAGAACTTTCTGTAGTTTAGAGTTAAGCTTAAAACAATAAGCAAGAAGGTCTAAAAGCTTAAGCAAGAAAGGGGTATTAAAAGCAAGTTTGCTCACCCTTGAAGAACACTTTCAAGAGCAAAGTTCGAGCAGGTTTTCCAAGCTCAAACCAACCCAAGAACTATGAAATCAACCTCAAGGGACCTCAGTTCCAAGAGGATGGTGTTCTAGTGTGTGTTTGTGTACAATAGTAAGACAATACTACACTTTAGAGCACAAAACAAGATCAAACAAGAGAATATACATACAAAACTATATGTATCACTCAAGACTCCATTTTTTCTGAACCCTGGAGAAGGGAGGAGGGCCTCCCCTCTTATAGAATTCCAAATTCTAAAGCTTCCTAAGCAAGCTAATCAAGGGGCAAATCCCTCTATATGGAGGGGGGGATTGTGGATGCCAGCTGTGACAGCTGGCATAAAATATCTGCATAAAGTAGATGAACAGGGTTCGGCAAGAAAACATGGCCGATCGACCAACATAAGGGCCGACTGACCAAAAAGAGTGCCGATCGGCCAACACTTTTGGCCGATGGCAAGAAAACAGGGCCGATGGCATCATGCCGTGGCTGATGTGTTGAGGGAATCGCCAACAAGCCACCCTCTTCCCTCAGAAGAAAAAACACAAGTGCTTGGTCCACAACCAAGCACAAAATAGTCAAGTTGAGAGATCTTGAGGCAAGGCGCGCGGCCAAGACCTATGGGAACTCAAAACGAACACGTGCATAGATGATCATCGAGTGTGCAAATGATGACGTCCGAGTCTTGATGACGGTCAAAAATGGGGTGTCTACAAGTACCATGAGAATTTACACTTCTTTCATATACTTCCTTTTACAACTTCCCATAAAACAACCTAATAACAAATAAGCAAGTTTACATATCATTAAATAAATCGGGGTATTTCTTACAAACTTTAGCTTCTCGCTCCCTAGTGGCCTCTTTTACCCCATGGTGATGCCATAACACTTTAACTAAAGGAATGACTTTGCCTATAAAAACTTGTTCTCGGGTGTCCAAGATTTTCGTCGGTCTCTCTTCATATAACGCATTTTCGCCCACCTCTAAATTTGTCCAATCCAAAATATGATAGAAACATGGAACAGATTGTGCATTCTGGATAATTGTGGTGGCAATGCAAGGCGGTCAACTACTTCTCTCATCCGTTCTATAAGATAAGGGTCTTCTCCTCCGGTCTGCATAGCATTTTTTTCGACTCTGAGCCGTAACTAATTGTTTCTGAATGAGAGCTAATTTCTCAGTGGTCTTGCGACCCAATTCCAATCGAAGCATAGGTAAATGTCTCACCTTAGTCCAACACACCGGGAACCTACATGGTCTCCCATACAAAACATCAAAAGTAGCCATTCAGCTTGATAATTATTATTATAGGTGAATTCTGCTAAAGGTAGTTGTCTCTCCCAAGAACATTTAAAATCTAGCACACAAGCTCTCAACACGTCTTCCAAGATTTGGATAGTGCACTCCGATTGTCCATCGATTTGTGGGTGGTAAGTAGTGCTAAAAGTTAACCGAGTGCCCATAATAGTTTGTAGGCTTTGCCACAACCGTGTGGTAAAACGGAGGTCTCAATCCGAGACAATACTCACCAAAACTCCATGAAGCCGAGCAATCTCTTCAACATAAAGTTCCGCCAAGTAATCAATTGAGTCCCCCATATATATAGCGAGAAAATGAGCCACTTAGTTAGTGAATCCACCACTTCTCAAACTACGTCATTACCCCTTCGTGTTCTAGGGAGGCTCGAAACAAAGTCCATAGTGCTATGTTTCCACTTCCATTTCGCGATAGGCAAGGGTTGCAATAACCCGGCTGGTCGTTGATGTTTCGTCTTGACTTGTGGGCCAGTTAAACACTTGGGCACAAATGAAGCCACATCCTGCTTCATATCCCTCCACCAAAATTGTCGGTTTTGGTCATCGAACATTTTTGTGCTGCGCGGATGTACTACAAGACAGGAGTTGTGAAATTCCCAAAGCACCTCGTCTCTACATGATTCAGGTACAAAAAGCGTACTAAATACCGGACATTAGAATTGGAATCTACCCTCAAATCCTTTTCCTCCTTCCCTTGTGCTATTTTCTTCTTGATTACTTTAACTTCCAAGTTAACTTTTTGTGCCTTCCCTAGATGCATCATAGTACAAAGTTTAACCCAAATCTCTTTCTAGAATGACTAAAACTGGTGCAATAGTTAGTCTAGCCTTCATCTCTAAGAAGGATTTCTCATATGATTTATCCCAAACAAACTTCACTCCCTTTCTCGTTAGCCTAGTCAACGGAGAAGCTAACGCGAAGAAGTCTTTCACAAACCGTCTATAGTAACTGGTAAGACCTAAGAATCTACGAATCTCAAATGCGTTCCTAGGTTGCTCCCAATTCTGTACTTCCTCAATCTTCGAGGAATCTACAACAACCCCATCCTTAGAAACAACGTGACCCAAGAATCTCACCTTAGAGAGCCAGAACTCACATTTCTCATATTTAGCATACAACCTGTGCTCCATAACTAATTGCAACACAATGTGAAGGTGCACCTCATGTTCTTCTCTGAGGGTAAGAATATCATCGACAAAAACTACCACAAACTTGTCGAGAAATTCATAGTGACCATATCAAGTATGAAAGGGCGTCTTCGAAATATTTTCTTCTTTCACACGCAACTGATGATAACCCAATCTTAGATCTTTCTTTCAGAAACACTGATAACCCTTAAGTTGGTCAAAAAGATCATCTATTTTCTAGGCAACAGGTACTTATTCTTAACCGTGACCCTATTCATCTTATGGTAATCAATGCATAACCGCAATGAACCATCCTTCTTCTCGGCAAAGAGAGATGGTGCTCCCCAGTTTGAAATACTAGGGCATATAAAACCCTTATCTAACAATTCTTGCAATTGCTGCTTTAAAACAAGCAACTCGGCCAGAGTGAATCTATAGGGTGACATAGAAATGGGTGTCATACCTGGCACTAGGTCTATAGAAAACTCAACCTCACGATGAGGTGGTAATTTAGTGAGGTCCTCTGGAGAAACATCTAAATACTCACAAACCACTCTAGGGAATACCCCCAGCAATACACAGAGTAACTCTCCCATGATAACAATATATTACAGCACAATAAGAGGACAACCAGTCCATATCAAGGATGACATCAAAACTCATCACATCTAACAACACCAAACTAAAAGGAAGTTGGTAGTCAGCAACTTCAATCACACACTCACGACACCCATGGTTCAACTCCATCTTACCCCCAACCGGTGATTCTACTACGAGAGAAGATTCTAATGGTTCGGCCCCTAACCCGAACATGGATGCAAAACTAGATGCTATAAATAAATGAGATGCTCTCGTATCTATCAAGACATTGGCCCAAGTATTATATAGAAGGTATGTATCTCGCACCGCCATTGACCTAGTCGACTATTCAGATGTGATGATTGCATAAACTCTCCATTTGGGTCTCTATTCACTCTAGTTACCCCTTTGATGATAGGCATGTTGCACGGACTTTGCGGAGGTAATCCTATCTACAACTCTAGAGCTTGTCCAGACTGAACTAGCTGATGAGTCTGCCTTTGGCTCTATCCTACATGAAATCCTGAAGCACTAGCCATTCCAGCAATTTGGGGACACAACTTCTTCATATGACCCAGCTGGCCACACTGATAACAAACGGGCGATTGACCTCTACCCAAGGTATGATCCTATAGGTGAGTAGAAGGCTGACGGTGTTGGTTACCCCTTTATGGAGATGTAGTGGACTTGTAACCTTGCTCACCACATTGATGACAAGTGATCCCACTTTGTCCCGTATTATCCGTTCTCTTTCCTGACATAGGGTTTAATGACATGACTGGTAACAGTGGTACATGAGAGGATGTAGAACTCTTCAAATTTTTTGGATGCCATAGAACCCCCTTCCCTATTCGCAAATAGGGTAATACTGAGGACATAAAGAAGGAATCCACAAGCGTACTGAGAAATGGCCTCTAGGGTGGCAAGGTATATACTGTGGAACCTCTGGTGTAGCCATCTATAGCGGATGATCCCTGGGCTATCCTTTGGGGGAATGGCCTCAAGTAAATGAAGCTGAGCGGCATCTCAAGATCCCATATCTAAGTTAAAAGGGATTGGATCACCCTTATCGAAAGACCAGTAATCATGAAGAAGTCATAGGAGGTCCTCATCATCTCCCCTATGGAAAAGAAGTGGAAGTAGTTAGTGGTACAAGAGCCACGATAGCTGATCGTGTAGCCTGTATCTAGTTGATCCCGAGTAGAACGTGCCAAAGCTGGCCTGCTCCACCAAGGCCCGGACTCTAACAAGAAGAACTTGGTACCATCGGCGAAGGAATACGACGGTCCCATAGCCCTTCATCTAGCGGTCGTCATCCTATTAGAAAGGTGATTAGTATATTACAAATATGAGCAAATATAAATAAACACGTGAGTTTGGTATCAAGGCTTACCAGTCGGGCACTGTAGGATAGGTGTAACTGTCACTGCCGAAGAAGCGCGTCCAAAGCAACCCCTGGTCAAAACTTAGTGAATGTAAGCATGCTACCATGACTAATGCAGTGGATGTTAGAATGGTAAGTAGCCGGCTCGAATGGCCTGAGACGTAGTGGTAGTAGCTTAGGACCAAACATAGGAGAAACGATGTCCTACGCTGCCATGTATAGGTCATCCACCTGGACACCTATGTCCTCGGCAAGCATATGTACATCGGCCTCGGGGGGCGAGAAAGACATATTAACCTCTGGGAAGACGAAAAAAGTATCCTTGTGAGGGATATCGGCATTCATCAAGAAAGAATAGGTGTGTGCGCGCCTAAAAATGAGGGAGATGGAGGAAGAAAACCAAAAGTCCAACCACAGGACCCAAAAACCTGAAAAACAAAGAAAAATGCAAAGAACCAAAGGAAGTGAGTGAGAGGCTAAGCCAAGACGTGTGAAACACGTAATGAAGGGTAGGAAACTCAAAACTCCATCAAATCACAAACAAATCGGATCAAATCACAAACTAATCGGTTCAAAGTGTAGAGGAAAGTGGTGGTTTCGGAGAAAAAAGGGCATGGGTCATTGGGTAATGCAAGGGAGGGAGGAAATCTAGAGAGAGAGAGAGTGAAACGAGAGGGAAGATGTTTTCAGATGGTGTGGAGTCAAAATAAACTGTTGGTTTGCTTTTATAAGCTTTTCGGGAGGCAAAAAGAAAAAATTGTCCCTGAAAAACCTGAAAGAGCGAACTGAACCATCATATGTTCGGTCAGCCAGTTTTGTACCTAGCGACTGAAATAAGTGACTGACAGGGGTGTTTTGTATAGGCAAAGTTTTATTTTTGTCTGAATCAACTGTGTTTGTGGCTAAAAAGAGGGATTGATGCAAATCAGGCTCAGTGTGAAGTTAACACGTCAAGTATGTGCCCGAAAGACCAAGCCACGTAAACAAAGGAGGCTAATTGATGCATAAAAGGATTTCCATTAAACATAAGAGTATTACATGAGTTTTTCAAAGCCAAAAAGAAGGTCCTAATCATTACAAAGCAACTATATTTCATAAGGGATGGTTCTAGGACATGCAAGTCCTAAACATCCTAATTTCATAAGCCTCAAGTTCTTTATGTACACAAAGATGCGTCCCTTGTCCTTCGAGAAGCAAAATAAAGAAAGGATGCACCCAAAGTTAGCCTAAGTTGTAGAAGAAAGGCCACAGTGCTGCAAGGAGCGTGAAAGGTTTCCTAGTGCATTGATGTCATCGTCGGACTGACCATGATCATTAGAGTTTTCATCAACGTCAAAAGTGGTTTCTATGTCATCTTCTTCATTGCTACTCACCATCGAAGAATCCAGAGTGGGCAGTCGGAGTGAGCTAAGTTGTCATCCTAAAACTAAGAGAGCCATGTTATTAAAGAGAGAAATGAAGAACGACGATACAGAATGGGAAATGAGCTACAAGGTCAGAGTTTTTTTACCTCTAACAAGTTAGTTGGATGACGGAGCAAAGACCCCATGGCCAAGGAATTTTGGTTGAACCTATGAGCTGGTGTCGAGCTAAGTCCATAAAAATGGCCACGAGCATGAGCATAGCTCAATGATCGACTATTAACTTTGTTGCAGCCGCAAACATTCTTCTATTATCAATGGTGGGTTCCTCTAGGACAACCCACGGCTCCTTTCTCCTCCTATGGACAAGTCTTCTCCTAGCCCCCCCCTCCGACCACTAGAATGGGATCTTAAGCGTATTACTTCCAAGTTAAAGACTATAGCATCATCAGAGCTCTCATCTGACAAACCAACAAAGCCTAAGTGATGAAGAGAACCCATATCTCGAGAGACACTAGAAATGAAAGAGAGAGAGAGAGAGAGAGAGAGAGAGAGAGAGAGGTTGTGAACCATTTGAAGTAAGAGAAGGTGTACAAGGCCACATAAATAGAAATTTTAGGTGGTTGTGAGCAGTTTGCAGTCGAAGTACCACCTTTTTACACATTCTCAGAAGTGACAAAGTCAAAAGCCAAGACCAGCTCAGGATATGCCTGAACGAATCAGCCGAAATTCATATTTAGCCAACCATCTATGGTATCAGTCGGCAAGCTCTGGGGAAGGTGGCTTGGGGGACTACTAAAATTCAGAGTGTTACGACCGGAACATGAGGGTATTTATAGGATTTGAGAGAGAAAAAGGTAGTTACACATGTGTGTAGACATTCAAAAGTAGAGTAGGGCAAAAATTCAAGAGTCATCCACAAAACAAAAGAGTGTTTATACATATGTGGGCCATGAATGACACAATTTGTTTACAAAAGCAGTTACAAAATGTCCCATGAGGAGATTACATTCAAAGTTCCTACAAGTTATACAAAGAAAGAAAGACGAAGAAAAATAGGGGAAAAGTAGAGCAAAAGCTAAGCCAAGCTAGGCAGCTAGAGCCATCATCCTAGTAGGCAGTGAAATGCCAAATCCACCAGAGCCGTCATCATCTCCACTAGCCCCACTGTCCAAATTACTGATGCCAGCAGAAGAGTAGTCAAGGGGTCCATTAGGCACATCATTATCGTCATCATCGTTGCTGATGACGATAACCTTAGGTAACGCAGCTCTGTCTTGTAGAAAAAAAGAAGTGTCAATCAAAAAGAAATAAAGCCATTGAGAAAGAGATGATCAATTCTTGAGATAGCCAAACCTCGTGATGGATGTCTGGAATATATGGAGACACTGAAGTAGGGCTGCATTATCGCCCTTGTTGACCTCGAATGCCTAGACCACCATGTCACTTATGAGGGGCCTATCCCTAACCATAATACTGTCGTCACCCATGTGCCCAAGTCTGTACGGGCCCATCAGCCTCTACCCACCTACTACTGCTAACACCCCTGCAAGGATGTCCTAACCCATGCCTCCTTGCATGAGTAACGATATAAGCAAGTTTCGGGTTAATGCCATTAGTAATGGCCATGATGAGAGCCTCTACCACCATGTTCCCGAAGGAAGTATTGATGTTTGATGGTGTATTTAGTTCATTGAATCTAATGGGAGAGTTAGAAGGAAATGGGAGAAGGTCATTATCAGCCATGGGTAATGATCAGAAAGAGTTTCAGAGGACTAGGGAGGTGGTTTCGGACAGAAGTGAATAGAAGTTGGACAGTCACGCCATTTTATAAACTTTCAAAACTGTGAAATGACTATTCTAACCTTATAAAAACCCGATAGGGCCGAATGACCATTCCTTCTTTCGGCCAGCCAGTTTTCAATTGGCCAAAGGAGCAATAGTAGTATGTTAGAAAAAGGTGTTCAAAGATATATAGTGGTAGGTGGTATATGGTTACCATCCCAGTTATGTTTCGAGGTACGATCGTTCAGTGGCACTAACAGAGAGGAAGCTTAGTCCCTGTTTTTTTTGTGTTTTTCTTTCATTTGCCTTAGCATCATAATGCTTCTATTGTTGCAATTACTCCCTACATATGTGAACTGTGTAAGGTGTGAAACCCTCGGTTAATACTGCCCCCTACGGGGTTGGCAATTAACACCACCCTCAGTTAATATAGCCCCTTACTCTAGTTAGCGGTTAATATCACCCTCTGCTAATACCATCCCCCATG